GCAGGGGCCCTGTTATCTGAGAGAGCCACTGTCAGCTGCTGCCATGGCTTTGCTTTGCTATCAGGGGAACCACAGGATTCATTTTCCCTTGAAGCCTTCGCAGGGAGCCGGATGCCTTTCCTGGAAGACACTTTTTAGCCAAGGAGCCATTATTGGCTCAGTGCAAATCGTATTGTACTGTCTGTGCCATACAGGCAGGTGGAGTGGATACAGCTGTGACCTCTGGCCTTGAGACCCTCTGACTTCACTGATTCCTGCAGCAGCATCCCACACTGTCCCTCGCAGCACCAGCAGCACCTCGCTGTGAAATGCTGTCAGCCTTGTGCAGCCATAGGGGCCCATCCTCTCCTGTCCTGCGTGGAGCAGCTCCAGCATGTGTCCAGGCTGGGATGAGACTGAAGGGGCTGCCCCTGCCTTGGGGCTCAACCAGCTCCCTGGCTGGGGCTGGGTGCAGGCAGCGGTGCAGGCAGCAGCCAGTGTCTGTGTGTCTGTATGGGGATGGTGGTGATAGATGGTTCCTCCCCAGTTGCTATTTCCAGAGGATGAAGTCACCAGGCTGCAGAGCCTGAGCTCAGGGGAGGGTGAGTCAGTGCTGGCCTCGCTGAGGCACTGTGCGTGGCCCCCGTTCTGCAGCACCCACCGTGCCCTGAGCACCAGGGCCAGTTCAGTGGGGTTCAGGCTTTGCAGCAAAATAGTGTCAGGTCATCAGCCCCACTGTGGCTTCCCTGGAGGGTGTCCCTGGGCTCAGCTCTCTCCGCATGGTCCCACCACCACCACCAGCTTTGTCTCAAACAGCTGCATGTCCCTTCTGTGGGAATGTCTCCCCTGGGGCCATGGGGTGCCCCAGCCCAGAGTCACAACGTGCTTTTTGTTAGCAAATCCCTAGGCACAATTTCCACGCATGCTCTCAGCTGTGAACAGCTGCGCTGTGCCCTTCGGCCCCAGCACAGTGCTGAGCTCACCAGCTACTGCTGCCTCCTGATAAAAGCCTCCAGTGTGGGACACACACTGTGCTCAGCCACGGTGCTGCAGGGCCATGACTGCTGCTCACTGGGCACCAGCAGCCACGGCTGGAATCTCCCAAAACCCACCCCAAACCCACCTGGGCCGCCCAGAGGATGTGTGGGAGGTTAGGGGCTATGGGGGCAGGGAAGTGACTGAGCCAGCACAGCTGACACCTCACACCAGCAGGGCTGATGCCACCGGGGACCTCTCCTCAGCTCTCCCCTCCCCTCTCATTCACCCCTTGAGCTTCTTTTGCATTTTTTGGTGTTTTCTGCTGCAGGGTTTAAGGCCCAAGAAGCCAATCCACTGCTGGCTGTTTGTGCCAGGCTGGTGATCTAAAGCACCATGTAGGATAAGCAGCTGGACACTCGTGGCTGTGTAGCAGAGCAGGAGTGGGTGATGCCACCCCATTATCCCTCCCAGCACTGCAGCCTGGGCACAGCCTTGCCCTGCAGTGGGGGCCCTGGTCCCTGTGGGTGGCAGGGATGGGACACACAGGTCTGAGCTGAAGGGTTGGATGTCACTGCTATGGATCCACCTGTGTTCCAGAGCAGGTGGGCTGTGTTCCCCCAGCCCAGAGCACAGCCTTAGCTCTGGCACCTTCCCTGCAGTCACAGCACAGGGTGGTTAAATCTTCCCCCACGGCTGTGATAACAAACACACTTCTCAAAGAAAGGGAGGAAGCCAGAACTCCCCGGCTGTGCCGCGCGGTGCGAGCCGCTGCCGGGGCAGGCGCTGCCTGCCTCCTTCCTGTGCCGTCTGATTGGGTTTGTTTGCCTTCTCCAAAGCAAACAGTGTTGAAGCCTGGGGGGGGTGTTTGGCAAATCCCCTCCCTTGTTTATAAAAGCTGCTTCCTGTGCCAGTTTCTGACATCCTGTTCCTTCCAAACATTGCTGGCAAAGGGTGGTGTGGGATCCCAGAAATATGTGATACTTTGAACCCAGTGTCTGACCATAGGGTTTATCTTCCAGCTGCTCCCACCAGCTGCAGCGTGGCCATGGCCATGCCTGTGACTCCACCAATGGCCAAGGGGACTGACACAGCCCATGCTGGGATTTTCCTGGAGACCTTCAAGCACAGTTTGACTACTCACAGTTCATGGCCCCACATGAGATGGGTACCAGTATGACCTACCACATGATGCTGATGCATTTGCTTGTTCGAACTCCTGCTTCCAAGAGAGTGGGCTGCAGCAGTTCTAACCAGTGGGAAACAGGCAAAATTAAACTGAGCAATAATATCTTTGGCTTTTCCTTTTGCTAAGTACAGTAACATTAATAATATCTTTGGCTTTTCCTTTTGCTGAGTACAGTAACAGAGTTGCAGCTATTGGGCTTGAAAACTATTCAATGCTTGCTGTTTCCCACACAGACAATACTACTGTCCTTGAGGGACCAGGCTGAATTCATGCCAGAAAAAGCAGAGGTGAAGAGCTGAGTTCCCTATGAGCCCCATTTTTGCATGGCTGCAGTCATGGCTGCCAGCCCCACTGCATGCCACCACCTTCTCGAGGGTGTTTTGTGCTCGTGGCTCACTGCTGTGGTGCCAGATGTCAGGAAACGATGAATTCACTGGTTACCCAGTGCCTTTCAGCACAACGACTCAGGTATGGAGCAGTGTGAAGTAAGGGAGCGTTGGTGTTATTCTAATCAAGGCCAAACAAAAGCTACTTCAACTGTTGGTTAAAATCCTACTTTTTCTCTCTAAGCACATTTACTGGAAAAGTGTCAAAGGCAAAGAATGTAAAAATGTGCTTACAAACAGCACAGCAGTTCCCAGGAGTGAGTTCCTGTAAGGCTGCACAATTCCCACTGATCCCTCTGGCCTCAACAGGAGCTGGTTTGGGTGTTCCCTTAACACACCATCCTTGCTGGAGAAACAAGTGATGAAAGGGGAAAAAGGGTTTCAGCAAATCTTTCTTCCTCCCCTCCCCTGGCTCAGGTAGTGGAAACTGCAAGTCACCTGGCAAAGAGTCAGATTTTGTAAAAATGAGGGGTGTAACACACCACCCTGCTCTCTGGACACCCAGAGCCCCTGCCATCTTTTAGAGAAAAGCTTGTGTCACGCTGTCCCTGCGGATTCAGACGATGGAAGAAAAGCTGAAGCTAAAGAATCGACCGAGTACCAGGTGTGGGAGGGAGAGGTGGAACTGCAGGGCGAAAACTCACTGCAGGCTCTGACTGCTGAGCAGTGACCGTGTTGGCTGCCCCACAGAGCCCTTGGTACAAACCCATCTGGCTGCTGACTCAGCACATGGCATCAGCCAAACTGCTCAGTCTCCATGCTGCACTCAGGATGGGCCAGAGCCAGTGTCCCCCAGCCTGGGAGCCACCAACAGCAGCAGGGAGCACCAGCAGGCCAGCTAGAGAGCTGGATCCAGGTCCAGCAGTGAAAAGTGGCTGGAGAGCTTCACTCCTGCTTGGAGCAAAACTGAAAGGGTCATGGCTCAGTCCTTCCTAGAAGCCAGGAAATTTTCTTTCTTTTGTGTCTGATGTTGTGGTGGGAAATGGTAAGGAAAGGGGCAGTGCGAACGCAGTGCTTGGAAGGGCAGCAGTGCCTCTGCACTGTGCACAGCAGTGGTCCTTCATGGACTGCAGTGAGCTCTGCCAAAAAGCTGGAGCAGAAAGGGAAAGTGGGCAGTTATCTCTGCAGCCTGCTGCCAGGACAGGAAACTGCCCCTTATATCAATCTGCAGCAAGGGCTTGCTGAAATGGAAGTCCTTGCCACACCTCTGCTGCCTTCCTTGTAATCAAAAGCTCCTTTCTTTCATAATAATCTCCATTTTAATCTAGTACAAAAAAAGAACTTTACCCTTACGGATTCATGAAACGGCCTATTTCAGCTCCAGCAGTACTGTGAACTGGACGCCTCAAAAATGTGCTGAAGTACAAGTTAGGTAGAAAGGATCAATAACAATTTATCATGAAAAGGCCAGCCCAGGAGAAGCAAGAGGCTCCAATAAGACAGAAGAAACTCAGCTTGAGGGAAGTACCATCATATCCCCTGTTCCAGTAATCAAACATGTTATTACAAACTCAGATGCTGCAAAATGTTGCAAAACAAATCCCCCCTATTATTCTTTCAAACTAGTTGGAACTTCCTATGATTTAAAAAAGATGTAATCATATCCGCAGAGATCCCAGAGTTCCTTATGAGCATCTTAAAAAGTAGGAATGAATCATTTCCTTGTACAACAGTCAACTTTGCAAAGCTGTGATCTTGGAAATGACAGTTAAACAAGTCGAAGGCAAGCATTCAAAAGAAAATAAAAGCATTTAATCCAAAATATTTTACCAAAAGTTTTTACAGCAATTTGATATAAATGGAGTCTTCTCTTAAAATCTGAATCCACCAATACAAATGCATTGTACCAAAGGGGATTACAAAACTTTCTCCTCGGCCACACAGAGAGGTAGGGAGGGCATTTCTCGTCTGAAAACACCTAAGATGAACTGAAGAGTAACATTCAGGATCTAGCCTGCGACGTCTAAGTGACAATAACACACATATGTTTGGGGATTGAAACTTCACAGGCTGATATATCTTTAACCCATAAGGCCTTTATTAAGACTTCTAATAATTTGTGGGTATGCATCAGAAATATCCAAGATGTCTCTCAGCTGTATTATGTGGTTTTCCCTAACGATGGAAAGACTGATGCTGGGGCAGACTGTGTGGTGTGTGCCCTGCAAGGAGCAGGATTTAGGGATGGGTGTTAACAAAACGTTGTTTCTATTCCTGCTTAGTTGCTCCAGGCTGTAGTTTCTGGGACCTGAGGACAGGTGTGAACTGGTGCATCCTGGCCCCTCTGGCTGTTCAGTGGCTCAGGGAAGGGCAGCCACTGGGAGGAACAAGTGGTGCAGCTACCCCAGGTTCCCTATCTAGATTTGCAGCTTCCCAGGCTGTTGGAGACTTTGACAGGGCTCATTTTGGAGTGAATGAGGCCCTTAGAAGACTGACAGGTCAGTCCAGCCAGGATCCCAGCAAGCCCACAAAGAGCAAGAGACAAAATTGCTCCCTGTTGAGAACCAGCTAGAGGCAGCTGGAAGGAAAGAGCAGGACATGGAGCCCTCTCCTCCCCTCTGCAGAGCCCTACAGCAGCACAGGCACTTCCCAGTGCATGAATTCATTCCTTCATTTGGCACACTTGGCTGGTCTGGAAACGATTACCTGTAAAAGGAGCTCTTTCACCACCGTAGCTGTTCACTGCAGTAGTGTCCTGTGAGGCTGGGCTCTGCTGGTCTCCTGCCAGCCACGCAGAGAAAGGCTCCAGCTGATCCCCGGGGAGCTGGGCTGCCTGCTCCCTGCTTTGCAAACAACAACAAAACAGCCTTCGAGGAAGATGCAGTGAGGGAATGCACTCTCTAGAAAACAAAGCCACATTAACCAGCCTCAACAATGCAGCAGTTTTCTTTCCCAGTGGAAGGGCAGGCTGGTGCCTTCCCTCCCCAGGACAGACTGTCTTTTAGGCTCTTTGGGGACACGTGGAAGGCGCCTTTGCTGTTTTCGCTGTGCTGCCCCAGTGCTAGGCTCCTGTGCTGCTACCAGGAGCTGAAGTCCCCGAAGCCTGTGCTCTTTTTCTCCTTCTTCACAGCTGTGCTGGTTGAGGGCCCATCATCCTCGGCACTGCGCTTCCTAGAGCCAAAATGAAAACAACTCTCAGGGACTATTTACTGTGGGACCAGGGCAGCTGGAAGCCTGTTCTCTCCCAGCAAGCTAGACTGGAGCCAGCCCATCCCTTGTCAATTAGAGCAGCGCAAGCTCCGTGCCAGTACGGGGACTGCAGGGGGTTGGGGACAGGAGCCTTTGGCATGCCCAAAAAGAGGGAGAGTGTGTGAGTCTATGGAGGGGATTTGGGTCAGGCTTTGAACAACTCCCAGGCATATGTTCAAAGCACAGAAAGTTCTCCAGGCCAGAGCTGGAGATTTAACAGCTGTACTTTCTAAGCATGGTCATTACGAAAATGTGAGCCACAAGTTCTCTCCACAGCTTCTCACCTGCACTTGTGGCAGCAAAAGTATTTATGGGAAAACACTATGCAGCCAGCTCATGTGCTGTGGTTTTGTTGTCAGGTATCAGCAGCTGATAGGGAGAATTGAGAACCCTGCACCTGCCAAAGGGCTGCTATGGACCAAACTCCCAGTGTCAAGGCAGGCTGCAGTAACTGAAGATCCTTTCTGTACTACTTGATCCTTTCCACAGAGCCACAAACTCTGCCTGGGTTTCCTCTGTAACTGCAGTGCGAAATGTCAGCAGTTTTAAGCTGAACATAATATTTTAAGGGACAAGCAATATTTTGTAACTGACACATCAAACTGACATACCTGGGCTAACATATTTCTGTTCTCACAGTTATGCAAATGCCTGTAAGTCATGGAGGCACAAACAAGCTGATTAAATAGCTGTTCAGATCTGTGTATGCATAAATACACAGCAGACAGACAACAGCATTTTCACAAATGCTTTTAGAGAACTCTGCTGAAATTCAAGTGGAAAGCATTTATCTTAATTTTTCCAAAACACATGCTAAGCTGCTGCTGGGGCAGGATTCTGTACTCTCCTCAGGAAAGAAAGCAGTGCTGCCAATCGTTACAGGCGTACAAAGGGTGTCTGGGAGAGGGTGCTTTATGACAAGCCTGTCCAACCAGCCAGGTACCCTGGAGGTACCTGCCAGATGCCCTGTGCTCCCACAGCAAGCCTGGGAACCTGCTCCCCTCTCTGGACATTTCAGTTATGCCAGTACAGCTATTTGTGTGGCTGAACAGGGAACCAGATTAGCAGACTGATAGGGGCTTAGGGCAACTACTTTGTGCAAGAGAGAAACTGCTATAAGAGAAACAATTGTGGGACCAGGGCTTTCAGAAATAGGTTCAGAAAAGGAAGAGGACAAAAGATAGCGTAGGAAGTGACACAGTACAGTTCCTCAAGGACCTCTGAGTTCTGGAAGTGTATCTACGGTTCTGAAGTCAGCACATGCTGTTAAAGGCCAGCTTGGCCATATTCAAGTGTTAAAAGAAAAGCTCAGTTACCTTGTAATCCTGAAAGGCAACAGAAGCAGAGGAAATTCTTGACTGTTAGGAATACATGAGGGTGTCTTTGCTGGCACAAACCAAATGTCCGAGCAATAGCACTGGACAGGGTCAGCAGCAAGCAGGAAAGGCAACTAAAGCACTCAACAAAGATGAGATGGGCAGGGAACTCACGCTGCAGCCATGTTAATGTATTTTCCAATCCCCTGCCGGTAGGTTTTAGGAGTCTGGACCTCTTTCCTTGGTGTAACCACCTCAGCTTTAGTTTTGGCTGCATCTTCTTCCTGCTGGAACTTCTCTCTTTCAGCAGCAACCTGTGGGAAGCAAAGAGTGGAATTTGTTGCAAGAGATAATGCCAAATAAGGAGAAAATATCTACGGTTCTTTGAAGCTTTAAAATACTCTAAAGCAGCAATCAGCACTGCTGTGATTACAGGGCAGGCATTAGGAGACAGACCTCAAGGGCCACTACAAACAGGCTGTCTGCAGCCATTATAACAAGACTCCTTTCTTCTTACCTACAGCTACTCATAGCCAGTGTGGGCATTTGAAAGGAAACCATTGGAAGTGTGATGGACTGGGAGCTGTGCCAGACTCAGTTAGAAGAGTAACTCTCCACTGAAAGAGCAATGATGATCCTGGCACATGTGGCAATGCTGAATGGCAGCTGTTTAATCTTAGCTGGCAACCATATGGGCCAGAGGGCTGTCCATGTTCAAAGTAAAGGCATTGTTACAAAGTTCTCCACAGAAGAGCTTTGGCCTTTCAAAAAACCCAACCAACCAACCAACCAACCAATCATCCTCACCTGTGCATCTGCCTCTTCATACGGATCAACAAAAACAGTTGTTGTCTCAATTCGTATTTCCTCCTGGGAGCAGAAGAGAAAAGCAATAATTCCATCTGCTGATTAAGCTGTGCCATCTCCCCCAAGTTTGGTTTTGAGAAGTGTCAGCAGGGTGACCAGCACTGCCATGGGAGGCCACAGCCCCTGGTGCTTTACACGTACCTTGGGACGGTCTGTTTTTGGGTCACTTTCCACATTCTCCATAGCAGTCAGAGTCTCAAAGCCACCAACCACCCTAAAAGAGGAAGAACACGATATCCAGCTGTCAAAATACACTCAAAATATTCCTGCACCCTTAGATCTAATACAGCTAATTTATGCCCATTACCCTAGCAGATTTTTAAACCATCATGTTTGGGGGAAGGGGAATCAGCAACTGTATTTGGAAGACCTAAGATAATGACATTCAGTGTGGAAGCTAAGAATTTTTTCTCAAATCTGGGATTTGAATTTAAAATTAAACAGAACATGGAAAAGTCAAACACTCAAAGGCAAAGCAAAACTATTTGTCCAAACCTCAGTAGCCACACAAGCCATCCAGATGAAGAACAAGTCTCTTTTCATTCTTTTAAAAAAATTTGTGTATCAGACTGAAAAGTGTATCAGGAAGAAAGGGAATGGTAACTACAGCACTAAAGGTAAGCAGTGACAGAGCTGTCAGTACTAACACCAGTAACACAAAAAGGAGAAGATTGCTCCAGAAGCATACCACAACCATGAGCTGGGAAGGCAGCAGAGCATCAAGCCACAGCCACAGGGTAATGCTGGAACACTTTTCACTGCAGTTTTTACTTAGGAGGATGTTATATCCTTGTCCTCTCACTCTACAAGTGAACATATCCAAATACTTGCTAGAAAATGTTCAAGGCTTTCTGGACTGTTGCATGTTCATTTTCAAAAAAGTGTGGGACAATGGGAAAGTTCCAAAAAAGCATATTTAGAAAGGATAAATGGTGTAACCCAGATAATTATAATCCTGTCATCCTGTCATCTATCCCAGCAAAATAATGGAATAGTACACACAGGACATGATTAAGAAAGAAAGGAAATAAGTAATGGCAATCAACAAGGTTTTGTGGAAAACAGAGTCTGTCAAACAACCTTCTATCTTTGAGACAACAGATGTGGTTAAACGGGATAACAGTGTCCATGGAACAGACTTCTGGAAGGCGGCTGATATTTTGATTGAGGAACCAGAACGCTATGAAGTGAACACAGCACACATTAAATAAAAAATTGGCTGACAGGTGTCAAAATCTAATTTTAAACAGGAACCACTGAGTCAGTATGTTTCCAGAGGGGTCCTGCTGGGATCAGATCTTGGTCCCAGGGTATTTAACACTTTTATCCACATCATCATCCCCAATTAAATTTGAAAACAGCTATTCTTGGAAGAGCAGTAAATAAAGAGGAAGACAGGCTGTTGATGCCGAGTGATTCAGATCCCTTAGCAAAGCAGGCTGTAGCTGGACAACATCTGTTTCAATAGAGCCAAGCCACATGGCCAGGAACCAAAAACACAGCCCATACTAACAGCCGTGGGACAATGAGAAGCAGCCGTAATTCCCAAATATGCTGCTTCCGCAGCCAGAGGAGTTTGGGGCCGGGAACTCAGGAGCAAAGGCAGGAGCAGAACATGAAGGAGCCCAGGGACTGGGCAATCCCACAGCCAGCAATTTTCCAGCCTTCACAGGGGGACAAGTGTTTTGAAGCCTGATTGCTGGGATTACTAGGACTCCAGCACCAGCAAGGGCAGGCTGTCCCAGGGTGGGCAGATGGAATGGAGAAAAACAGAATTCAATCAAACTGGTAGGAAAAACCCCAAACTGGTGGAATACGTAGTGTTTTATCACCTAACTCTGCTTTCATATCAAAGAAATAAGCAATACCTCAACCAAAACACATATTACACGGTCATCTTAATACACTTCTGCCAGGATATCTCACTCTTACAGGTGTTTCACAGCCCTGTGCACTCCCAACAGGGCAGCCTGCCTGACCAGCACCAGGAGAGGCCACTGGCTCTCACCTGCCATGGTTTCAGCAGATCCAATGGAGAAATACACCTTCTACACCACTCCTCACTGCCCCCACTGCCACCCCATGGGCTGGGACAGGCATTAAACACAACCAAAAAGACAGACCCCATCACAGGGAATGAATCAAGGCAGGTCAGAGCGGGTGTTCTCAGCACCTGCCCCACCACAGCTCACATTTCAGTGCTTCTCCAAACTTCTCCCATTTACTCCCCAAGGGCCTTCTGATAGTCTGTAATCAGGCTGTGACTTTGAGGAGCAATTAAAAACCATGCATGCAGGCTAGAACAGCCTCAGTCATCTGTGCCTGGAGGAAGCACACTGGGGGAGGCTGCACAGGGCTTGAAGACCCTGCATGAACTCTGGAAAGTTCATAACAAAAACTCAATTTTAAAATGCCCCTCCAGGCCAATATCAGACTCACTTATAATACTGATGATTAACACCCAGCCCGAGATATATTCACTGTATTTTAACTGCCCCAAAGGAAACTTCTGATTTAATATTGGAGGATTTTCTAGCCAACAGCTCCACTCATTATCTTCTCGTATGTTTTCATTTAATTAGATTCTGATAATTTGAAATGGCCAGATCAGCTACACACTGGCAATCTCAACTGAGTAATCCCTTAGCCCATAGCTAGACCTCCCACAATATTAGCCCTAATGCATTTTGGTGATGCTCCCAGATCTTCAGTGGTTATGCTAATTAAACTTTATTGGGAATATTTTGTCACTTGTACATTTTAAAATGCTGTGATAGACATGGTATTCACAGGTCATCAGTAAATGACCTAAATAGTCTATTTTGACATCATTGTAAAGGGCTAAGGGGGAAAAAGACAAAGTTGTTATGCCTGCAGAGCATGTAATTCTCTTTTCTTCTTCACTTCTTGCCTCTCAAAGGGAAAATTGCTTTCTTTTACACCCCTGCATTTTGCACAGAGAGTATCTCTATGCATATTACAGTGTCAGCACAGTCAGCTCTCAATATAGGTTTATGTCTTTAGATACTGCCATATTACCAATTAAAAAAACACTGATTTGAATACAAACCACCAGGTCAGAGCAGAGAGCTCTTACCACAGGGACCGGAAATAATCCATTAGACACTTTTGCTCAGGGAGCACTTGACAGCTTTGTCCGGGTGAGGCCCAGCTGAGGCTGGTGTTTCATCACTAAAAATTAACATCCAAAAAGGGCAAGATCTGATTCCAAACATCATCCATCCAGTGAAAACTGAACTACACACTAACCAGGGCAGTCAGAGTTGACGCAAAATAATTGAATATTCCAGCTTAAGGTCTCAAACTGTAAAGGCTTTTGCAAGATTTCTTCTGATCTGAGCAGAGACAGCATACGTGTAGGCTCTTGAAACATTACATGTTGTTATTGTCAAATGTCATAACGTTACATTGCAGCACTAAAATCAGTTTGATGAGACATAACGTGTCAAAGCCCATGCACTGGCATCCCTACAGCACCTGCTCCTCACAGATCGAGGAAACTAACACACCAGAGAAGTTCTTGGGATTCTTTGCCTGTCCCACAACACATATTCTGGGTGTAAGAAGAAAAGTTCATGAACATCTTGCCAAGAAAAAAGCCCAAACAAGTTGTATGTAGCAAAGACCACCAGTCCAGTACATAAAAGCATTTCAAAAAACCCTCTAAAGAGAGAGCCACTGCTTAATATTATTCACATATTCAAGGAAATCTGTGTATCATTTTCTGCAAAACAAAATGCAGACTCTGGAAGTTCAGACTAATATCCCTTTATACTCTTCACATATGTTAAACGTGTGACACAGGCAGTGACAGTTCACACCGTGTTGGCCTGTCTCATGCAATGTCACTTGTGCCAAGTTGGCAGCCAGCAGCGAAGGGAAGGGAGAAGGGCAGAAACCAGTTTAACCTTTTCCACTGCTTCTGGCTCTACTCCTCTTATAAGGTGCCACACATGCTTTGTCCTAAATTGACTAAGTGAGGTTTAAACAGATGTTCAGATGACATCATACAGTGAAAAGGATGACACCTTCAAGACACCATTTACATGAGAACAACCAGTGAAGCTGAGGGTTTGCTGTGTGCTTCCAGTAGATGTTGAACAGAGAAATGATGATCTCAACTATATATTTAGCTCAGCATCCCCGAGACAGCTTGTATTTTTAGAGGAGCTTGATAAATGTTGCATTACATTTAAGCATGAACTACAAGGTAGGTACATGTAGGGGTTTTTTTTCTGTTAGCACAGGAATTAAAACATAAATGTGCCCTTACTCGTGCAATTCTCTTTTCTCGAAAACCAGGTAAGTTAGCACTGGAAATATTTGCATTTCACATTTAGGTATGTTATTAAAATCTTACTTCCTGTTAAGGCTCTTTTATGTACATAGTAACCTTGCTTCATAGCCACTGTCAGTGTCTTTGCATGATGTGTAAGCGAAATATCTGGAGCAGGCTCTATCCATTTGCAATAAGCCAAAGAATGTCTCACTGTGTATTACTTAGTGCTGCTCCCAAAGAAAACTGAATCTCCCTCACAATTTCACAGACACTCACATGTGGATCTGTTTCTCATACTTTTGTTTGAAAGAATTATAAGAACTAAGCCTTATGCAATGCTGGGCATGGCAGCAGTCCAAGACGATAAAGCTTCCTGGTCAGAAGATGATACAAGAACAATGTCTGGACTTTTTGAAAAACAGCTTTAAACTAGAAACAGAAACCAGAAAGAAACACTGCTGTTTTGTAAACACATTGTGCCCTCAAGGTTATTTTTATAAAAAGGAGAACATACATTTATATACACACACAGAGAGAAGAACACATACGTGCACAAACACGTACACTCAGGACACAATGTTTTCTATGCATACACCAAATCTGCAATGGAAAGAGTAATTCCAAAGTGCAACAAGGATGCAGCCAAAACATCTCCATCTCTCATAAGGGCTTAATCTAGCAGGCGAGACACAGTAATAAAGGGTGCTGAAAAAATCAAACAACTTGGAAAAAAGCTTTTTGAATCCAGATCAACAGATGAACCTGGCACGCAAGGACTTCCCTGCTTTGGCACAGGTCCCTCTTCAGAGATCATACAACTGTTTTGGAAACAACAGCAGCCCTCATGCCGCTCTGACAGCTCAGTCCTCGTGTGCTGCAGGACACCACAGCCACAGCTTCCACAGGGAGGCCTGGCTTATTTTCCCACCTTGTTCCTCACTCCTATCCTGGTGTCTGGGGAGCAGACTGCAGTGCAAAATTAGGTCAGGCTCCCTACACAAAAACAGCTCTTCTGCTGCCACGCAATTTCTCCATTCTTCAGATGTACTAAAGCAGAAGAGCAACAAGAACACGAGTTTACTAGCTCAGAAGCCATCGGGATTCACTGATTCAAATCATACAGGCAATGTTGCAATTGGAAATAGACACTGTGCTATTTAACCATACCTGGGTAGTCGAGTAACACCTGGTAGTTGTTTTATGCAGCTTATTACTTTAGAGGACAAGAGTTACTTTCATTTTGCCATTCTACAGAATTGCAGTAAAAACCATTAAACAGGTTAAGGAATACTTAATACAGAATGATAGTGATCCAAGGGAAGAACTCACATCCACAAAAGCATCTGGCAAGGGGAGGAGGGAAGACAAGAGAAGACAAAGCTAAGTGCATGCCAGCTACTGGCTAATGTGTCTGATTCGACTAAGTCTGAGGTTTCCCAAAGCACCTAGTTCATTATTTCTGGGAACAACAGAATTGAAGAATGAGCAGCAGAAACTTCGAGAGACAGTAAAAGTTATCCATGTTAAGCAGACATGTGCAGCCACATACAAAGGAGAAAACTGTCCTTGACATAGTCATCTCCTGTCTCAGTTGTCACTTCCTTTTCTCAGCTCTTCATAAACATGAGCAGTGCTCTAATACAAACACACAGAACTGCTGCACAGATCATTTCCAGCTTTACCACTCTGACTGCAACACTGTTCTCTCAGCTCCCTTCACTGCCCTTCGCTTTACATACCTGCAACCTGCCCTCATTTTCAAGGCCACCATGCTCTGCTTGCCCTAAATCTCACCCAAAATTCAAAGAGCATTTCTCTCCTATTGATCATCTATTATTTTAAATATGCACTTTTTAATGTGTCCCTTTAGCTTTGGATCAGCCTTCCAAAACACATCCAAAAAGAATTTCATTTTTTCCTGGAACTTTCTTTTTTCAAAGAAAATGCAAACAGTTGGTGGAAGGTAGGCTGAAATGGGTCACTGTCACAGCTTCCCTGTATCAATATGTAGTCTCTTTTTTACTTACACAGCTCTCAGGGATAGAGATTATGCTTCTATTTCTGCTTATGAAGGGCAAATGTACCTAGAACGTTCCTGGTTCACAGGACCTGTGAACCACTGGAATAACAGAAAACATAGTAACAACATGGATGGGCTGTGCTTGTATCTAAATTTCATAAAGTACACCAGACAGGAATCTCAGCCTATCTGCTGTTTTGGCTGTAACGCTCCTGTATCTTATGCAGCCCACAGAACAACTGAACCCCCAGTTGTCGCACAGGTAAGAGGAAGCCCCCACATGGGGCCCAGGGCAGCAGCAGGCAAGACCTTCCCCATGCTGCAGTTCCCTCCCTGCAACTGCTTTTCATCCACTCTGTGCAGAGCAAATGCATGTTGGTTGGTTTACATTATTTGAGTTTCTAAATTAAACCTCTTATCAGCAAGCTAGAAGCCCACAAAAGCCACTGGTTAGTTTTCATGTTAATTACATCATTCTCCAAGTCAGGAGAAATAGTAATTACTAGAAATGGTAATTACTAATTTAATCTAGACAGCTCTGTTGGAGCAGGAAATCTGCGCAGCCTGCAACACACCTCCAAGGGAAGGCATTCTTCTCTCAATCTCTGTTTTTGTTCCCCATCCATGCCAGGTGGGCAGCACAATCATGACATGAAGCCTTCCCTGTCCTCTAGCCACAGCCAGACACATGCCACCTCTTCACTGTCCCACTGCCCACACCTGGTGTGTTTGCCAAACATACTTAACAGCCAAACATCCAACACTAATAGCTGCTCCTATGCAAGAATGTTGTTTCAAACCGGTGGGGACATGAATAAGGCGCAGCTCCAGAGAAGGAACTTCTCCATGTTCCATCCCATACAGGACCTAAAAATCAAAGAATGGAGTAGGGAATGGTTGCTCTTTCGTTCTTTTTTGCTCTCCAAAGTATAGAAGGCCTGCTGAAAAGTTCTATACAAATTACAAACAGGTCAAATTGTGCTCTCCAAGATACTTCTGTGACACTAACATGAAACAGAGCTGCACAAGAATAGTTGAGGGTATAGTTCAGATCAGAGTATTTAGGTTTTTATATTAACTGAAATAAGTAACCTCAAATCTATATGAAAGTCACAACAGACCAGTAAACATCCAATTAAGACAATCCAATTTAACACTCATGGAAACAAAGAATCCTGATTTCATGGGTTCATTCTGTTCTTAAGCCTAGCTATTACTCCTAGATATGCTTCCCAGATATTATTGTGCTATACAGTCTAAGATCAGATACAGTCACCAAATCCCGGAATCACCCAGGATCTAAAACAGCAATGTGGAGTTTCACTAGAGGTACAATCTCTGGCATCTTCTGGCTTTTAAAAACAAACACAGTGAAAACAGTTGAAGGATTTTCATGACAGAATAGAGATCTGAAGAGTTACACATATCAGCCTTTTAGTATTAGATTTGTAGGTAAATTCAAATATTACATTTTAGTATAGAGTGACTGGAATACATCTCCCCCAGCACCCCAACATTTTCTTTTTTTATATTCTTTGAATTAATCTTCATTTACAGGCAAGAGAGACCAGAGTAAAATTCACCTACTCTCTGTCTATATGAAGATGTCACTCAATTTTCACACAGGGAGCCAAATGTGAGTCTAAACCAACATTTTTTATGAAGTTTTTCTGCTGTATTTCAGCTAAAAATATTAGCAGTGCTGAGAAAGCAGAATCACTTCTTCACTCTGGCACCTAAGCTCATATTTCTGTAGTAACAAAGACAATTAAAAAATTAAGACAGTCTTTGCTAAAACTGCATAATTCTCTGCTATATACTTAACCAGATTTACTGGGACAGAAGTAGTTCCTCTCTAAAGAGCAATACACAGTGTGAAACATCATCTGAGCTATTTTGCTCCTAAGGTATTTGAGATATCAGGCACAGTGTGAAGGCTTTTGGGACCACAATCCCTGCACCACAGTAAGCTCAGCTACTCCCCAGATTCTTTCCAGGTGAATTATGGTGAAACTGGAGCACACTGGGGAAACACAGCAAAGACTCTGGAGGATATACAGGATGCTCACAAAAGCCATGCTGGATCCAGAACTGAAGAACAGGCACATTTTCAGCTGAGCTGTCCTAACCCAAATACTATTTGATGAGGTGGCAAGCTCAGGTTAACAGCATTACTGTATGGGATTTGAAGGGATTTTTGCAAGGTGGACTCAAATTGTAGCTTAAGTGAAATAGTCTTAAGATGTGGGCGAGGTAATTCCTCCAAGATATACTGGCTCTCAGCTTTTAGTATTAGAATTTGCTGTATTTATCCGCTTTCACCAAATGACAAGGGAACTTTGAAATTTTCTAGGACAGACCTGAGAAAGAAAAAAGAACTACATTTCCAAGGGTGCAATTATTGGAGAATCAGTATTGGAACTAACAGCACCAAAATAAAGTGCCATTAAAATGCCGCAGTTTCTGTCTCAAGAACTCTCAGGCAGAGAAGATGGATTAAATATATCACTTTCACTGTACAGCACAATTGCATGACATCCAATCAAAGTAAACCGCACATGGTTTTATTTTCAATTGCTGACTGCCAAATAGATGAAAGTATGAAAAGAATAAAAACCCAAATCTTCATTCTACAAAGACTGTAAGATTCTTGGGAACTACCAATTAAGCAGGCCAGTAACAATCCCCTTCCTGCCATGCACCTAGGGATGTTTTTGGAACAGCTATGCTTGACTTGGTAAATACCATGTACCTGCAGCAGAGGAAGCAAAGAACAAACTGTAACAGAGATTTTGTAATGTCTTCTGCAATAAATACCTTAATCTTTATCATGTGAGGACTTTACTGGAAAAGATTTTTGGAAGAGGCTTTATAAGGAATGAAGTTCTCTTGGTGTCTAGGCATTTATATATAGGTACATAGACATACATGTACACACACACAAACAAACACACAGATTTTATTCCGAGGAATAAAAGAAGAGAATAAAAGAGAATAAAAGGGGCCAAAAGACCTAGTCTATGCAGAAGATCTATGTTCTGTGCCATGAAGAGCAGTCCTGTCATGACTAATTTCCCAGCTGATGGCTCATAAGAGGATGAAAGCAGTACTGAAGAGGTACTCTCTTGTGTCCCAGCAATTAGCACGCACAAATATTAACATGGTTTGTTACAGGACGATGATTACTTTGTTCAAGACTCCCAGGAGGGCCACCCACAGAAGAGAAGTAAGGTAACTTACAGTGATGGGAGAAGAAAAAGGCAGAATCTGATGCCTCGCCTCAATGCAGTGTTTCCCACCTACTCCTGACCAGGAGAACTGGATTGTGAGCCAGGATTTTGCTCCAGTTCAATTACAAGAGTCACTACATTCTTCTCTTTAGGATTCAGACACACAGAAGAGCACGTCTGCTATACTGCTGCTTAAAATATCCTTCACTTACCTTCCAAAAACTGTATGCTTCTTGTCCAGATACGCACAAGAGCGGAATGTGATGAAGCTAGAAAGAACAAAGACATAACAGTTACCATATTGTCCCACTGACCCTCAACAACAGCCAGGAATGCTTAAAACCAGAAAGTGTATACAAAAGTTCTTGGAGAGAAGACAAGCACCTCTCCCTCTCTGGCTTCTCTCTGGGAGGCCTGCTGACCAAACATCCTTTAACTCTTCTGTTTTGAAGGCTTTATCCTGGATTTCTGGAGTTTTGACTTTTCATTTTTTCACCTTACTAACGTCTCTAAACAGCACTCCAAGCCTGGGGCCTTGCACCAAGTCTGAAATTAATCTGACCATCTGCCTCCTTGGCCACACAGGCTCTGGGAAGCTCATGCAGGGCAGGGCGATGTGCATCCTGCTTGAGAAGAACATTTCTTGTGCACGATGGGGAGCTTGTGTCCAGCAAATACAGTTACATGACACAAGGCTCTGCCAGTGTAAACTTTTATTTTTTGGATATTTACTTTTTGCATTTCTCTTCCCTTGAATTGGCCTGTCAGCAATACTTTTGTCCTCTGAACAGAGCAAACCTGTGCTTTGGATACAAGCATCCCAGAAGAAAACTTCAAAGTGTTAAAAGTAACGAAAACCTGCAAAGCTTGGAGTTTTGAATTTTAATTAACTGGACTTTTAATTTTTGGGGCTGTATTTTTAAACTTAAACACGGGAACTAAAATACAAATCCAAAGCAACCTTTACCACTAAAACTTTTCTCTAAAGCTTAATGCTTCTTTGGAAGACTTGGACTACAAATGTATGAGACAGAGGTTTCCACACTGGTCTGCAGACCATGATGGGCCTTCTTGGCTGGACATGCAGTGCTGGCTCTCCTCCCTGTCTCCATCTGTTACACTACATAAGTGACAGCTAAAAATATATATAAGCATTCCAAAAGCACTTTTCCATATAAGCAACTGCCTCAGGAAGTTATATGATTGCAAATAGGAGGGACTGTAACGTGCCAGACAATCCACTAAGATGTAGCTTGCCCCAGGAAAGTGCTGAGATGCTGTGCAGAATGCAAACTCCTACATGGGGCAAACATTTTATTTTAGCCTTGGCATGGTTCTTTGCACCACTTTATTCCTTGATACTTAAAATCCTCATGTGGTCAGTTATGTAGCACTGAAATACAAAAATCTGAGCAGTAGAAAATATACAGAGGAAGCTTCTCACTTGTCACTGCAGTCTAAATAAAATTAAGGACAACAGAAATAACATAACTCAGGATGATCCCAGAGGAGAAGTCCTGAGCATCATTCAAGCATCACCTTGCAGAGAGGACTCAGCTGACTCTGCCCTGCAGTGCCTGTCACCTATGGGGAGAGCTGTTCATGCAGTTCCTAAGGCCACAGCAGTTGCCAGAAGTGTCTAAGAGCTGCCTAGGAAGCTTTATAAACAGGGGCAGCTGGAGTCTCTTTAAGGACTTATATGTAAAAGAATTTCATTTGCAAATTTTAGGAGAACAGACAATCACATTTACAGCAGCAGATGATGTGACTCAGTATGGTACATCACTCATGGTCTCTGTAACTTCTCTTTGTAGAATCACCTTTCTTAAAAAAAAGAAAAAAAAAGAAAAGAAGAAAGAAGCCTCTACTCCCCCCTGATTTAGCACCCAAGTGCTGGCAATTACATTCAAATCCAAAATAAGTTGTACAGCAACTCGATCCTGCGACCTGCCCAGCACGTGCTTAGCCTTAACTATGCGAGTAAGCCTATTAAAGGCCCTGAGACAAGCACTTGTGTTCAATGAGAGCCAACCACACTGCTGCAGAGTTTTTTTACAACTTTTTTATATTGCAGAATTTAGACAGTAACCAATAAATTGTTGGCTCAAAGTGACACAGAACATTTTCAAAGGGCTGCAAGCAAACACCCGTATTAATGTTGCACATATATGAGCCTATTACAACTTCAGTACCTTTATATTTCCTTGGTGGTTCTTCCTGCTTTTTTTATGCATTTTTTTCATCATTTTAGTCCTAATTTTGCTTTAGTGCATTGAAAACCAAGTCATTCTCAATCTCAGATTTTGCACTCTGCCACGTCTGGGGCTACACATTTCAACAGAGCAGAACTGTTCTAATTTATTTTAAATCAGGAGACAAAACAACTAATATTTCCATAGGGTGTATATTTCATTTCATGAAGCCCTTTCAAAGAGTTCAATACAAGGCTAAATTTAAACAGAGTGAAGAGGTGTGAGTAATGATCTTACAGGGGTAACACTGGGGGAACAGTGCCAAAAACAAACAAAAACTTCAAATCATAAACTCAGAAAAGACAAATTAATGATGATATAATAAACCTATGGGTCTTCTTGCCATGCCTCCCTTTGACTGGGTAAGAGCAGCTGTAGTGCTGATTGCAATAAGCAGCACTCGACAGAATATTTCACTTGACTGAACTTTAAAGAGTAGCTCATAAAATGTCATTTGTTTTCTTAACAGAGTAAGACACACTGTCTAGAGGGAAACAATAAAACACAAAAACCAAGTGAGTACTTACAACTGCGACTTGTTTGTGTTGGGTCCCGAATTGGCCATACTAAGAATACCACGTCCCGTGTGGGACAAATTGGGCTTGAATTCATCTTTGAAAGGTTTTCCCCAGTAAGATTCTCCTCCTTAAAAGAGAAAAGATGATGGAAGAAATGTTTGTTTTCATTAGTTTCCCACTGCATTTTATAGCAGTCACTAACATTAAATTCAAGGTTTCCAGCACTTCCAATCACCATGTGTGTAATGCATTCTTACCTCATCCCTATCACCAGGCCAGGATTTTAGCACAACCTTGAAATCTGATGTTTGCAACTGGCCACACAATTCTGTGCCCTCACACTATCAGCTGCAACAGACCACACTGCTTATCAACAGCTTTATGTACTGTGTGCTGAAGAACTGTCAAGGATTTAATTTTTTACTGCTGGTCCACCCTAATTTTTCTCTCTTGAGACATTAAATCTTTAAAAGTGGCTTCCTGACAAAACACAAAGAACTTCTTGTTTAATTGCTCTCTGGATATAGCATTGCTTCTGGAAATAAAATACCAGGGAGATGAAATACATTTGTAGAAACAATTAAGAATAGGAGCTATAAGTTCAAATCCTGAATTCCTGGATAAACAATGAAGAATGCCAATATATGGTCCTCCAAAACAAGAGGCAAATATTAGATATTTGGACTAGATACCTGGATGATGTGAACACTTAAATGCAACAAAGGCAAAAGGATGATAAAACTGCACAAACCCCAGGCCCAAAACTGATTTCCCTTGTGTGACTGTGGACAGCAAGAGGGTCTGGGAGAGCTCTCCTCCTGGCTGTCAGTTTTACATTATTTATGACAGATCTGACATTTTCATTTGCACTTTCCTCCAGGATCATTCTTAATAAGAAAAACGAAGGCTGAGATGAGTCATAGTTTTACAGTCAAATCCACGATCTTGTTTGACAAACCATGAAAAGACATTTCACCTTAGGACAGTATTAAAAATAAAACAAACAAAACTATACAAACAGGCAGCAAGACTGGTCCATCTGCAGACCTGGCTCAAGAATCCTCTAGAGTAACTGTATCACTGGCAAAGCAGGAGGTCAGTAAAGGATCTGTGGTGCTCAGTGGCTATTTGCACATGTAATACAGAGAAGCATTTTGATGACATGGCTGCAGAGGCAAACAGCAAATAAAACCTGGGAACGAAACACACTCCTACTGAAAACCTTATGCAAAAAATCACAACAGTGCATCAAATGAGAAAAGTTACAGATGATACCATGGAAACAAAGCGTCACATATGGACAGCTGCAAGTGGAACTGTGCAAGTGAGAAACTTTGGAAAAAAACTGACCCACTTAAAACCCAATTAATTATGTTCAAAAGGCCTATTAATAGAGTTGAGTGTTGCCTGCTCTGCAATTTGACAAGAGGTGGCAAAAGGGGACAAACCTTGTAGGGATTTTCTCTAACCAGGAGTAGAGGAGTGATTACTTCAGCAATCTTTGGCTATTGAATATTTTAAGATCACCTAATTTACATCAGCTTGATCCCATATGCCAATCTTTTCCAGTAGTGGGTGACAGGGATATGGTACAGTTACAGCCAGCTCTACTGTCTTCAAGGTGGATCCAAACCCCACCTATTCTAACCAAATCCAAAGAGTTCAACCTACTAGAAAACGTCTTACCAGAAGCCAGTAATTTTCTTTGCTAATGAACCTCCCTGCATGTTCCTATTTGCTAAGAGAGTTTACTTGGGCAGCGCCTCTGTTCCTTGCCTTGTTCAGAAAAACAAAGTTCTTGACGGTTAGTAAATAAACAAGTTACACTCAGAATACAGTGAGGCTCCAGGCCAATGGGTGCTGCCCAAAATCAGAAACACACCCGTGAGCCTGCAGACCCACAGCCCATCAGCAGCATAATGCTCCTTGCAACTACTTCTTCCCTCTTTGCCTTTCACCTTGTGCTGGTTTGGGCACACACCTCTTTCACTGTTCCACTGCACCTGAGTCACAAACTTCACTGGGACTTCTCTTAAAGAAATACATAATTTTGCTTCAAAGGATCTCTTGAAGAAAATCCCAATTATCTGTAAAGCAGTTGTAATTGCTGTAAGCCCTAACCCAGGGGAGTTTGTGCTGTCTGAAGTTTACAGAGGGTAGGGAACACGAGCGCTGCCTGTTGAGATGGTACACAGCGGCAAGTGGCCAAACCTGTGAGTCTGCTACACCCCTCATATGCTTCCATCTGATGCTGGAATTACAGTGTTGTCAAGCTGATGAAAGAGAGTGGAATCAAGCCTGAAGCCTTCACTGGTCAGAAAAATAATTCAAAAGGAAAGAGAAAAATTGTGAATGACAGGGAGACTCTCTCTTTCTGGCACAACAAGCAACCAGACCCAAGAGCTTGCAGACAGGAGCAATGAGCCATGATCTTTGGGTTTTGGAATATTTATTTTTGTATGATTTCATTTCAGCTCATGCACTGCAGGTCAGAATTAATCTCATATGTATGAAGGCTAACCTTGGTTCATTCCGGTTCTCTGGAAATAAGTGCTAATATTTTAGCAGATAGTTACAGCATAAGACGCAGCCCCTGCTTCCCTCTCTGTCTGCCATACAGCTGTTTCCAAGGCTAATTCTGTCTGCCCAGGAGCTGCAGCAAGAACAGGGAATGGCCTGTGCAGTATTTGCCTAAAAGGCCAGACATCCTATAAAGGACATAGCTGAAGTGCCTGCAGAGGCCAAGCAGCACAGACTGGCAAGGGGTGGTGGAGACGCTGCAGAGGCACTCAGACAGCAGTGCAGGCACAGCTTTGGGTTTGTTGTTGTTGGGTTAGGTTTTTGAATAATTTAAAGGGAATACTCTTTTTTTTTTAAATAAAGGAAAACTCCAATGTATTCTCCTTAAATTAAAACCAGCCTGAATGTGCTTTTTGTCAAACGCCTGCTAACCTCTGGAATTGTTCCAGGCTTCATGTATCTGCTTGAAGCAGGACTAGACAGAGCAAGCCAGAGGATGGCAACTTACACGTACATATTTTTTTAATTACTGAAACCCAGCATCACTTTCTCTATGAAGACTAAGTACAGATCCCTCATCAGTCAAGTGCCATAGCAGTACAATGCCTAATGCTCAGCCAGGGAGAATGGAACAGGGATTTTACTCTCTACATTAGAGCTCAGTGTAAACTTGGGAAAATCATTCACAGGCTCCAAACCTACTACTAATAATTTTGAGGTGTTTCAATATGTAGCAGATTTTACTGTGTTTATTCTCAACACAGTTGGGAGGTGTGGCTATGCCATCTTCTTCATTCTCCGAAACCAGAATGGATGCAGAGGAGGTGGGAGTGCTGTAGTGTCTGGCTCTAGCCCTCTCATGTTACGCTCCCAGTATAGGCCATAAAGAGAGGAGGCTCCTCCTTATGTTCCCCAAATCTTCCTCAGAGCACACAAGGATCACTGCTGACTATATATGGAGTCACGATGATGCAACCCCCTCACTCCAGCACTGATGTATCAGCCTACAAGCAAAGCCCACAGAACACAAGAACTGACTCTGGATGTTGGATTCACAGCAGGCAGCACTGCCTGTCACTTCACCTTCTCAGCTTACTTCCTGATACAATTATCTTCTGTACAAGTGGAGCTGTGTGCCTACTGGACTTGCAAATGTTTCTGAGATCCTATTACAAAAAGTGCTGGAAAAAAATTATGTGGGCTTCTGTGGTAAAAATCAGAGGAGTTCACAGGGCAGCAGTCATGGCCCCAAGCAGGTATTGCCACTGGCTGGACTGGTGCTGGGAATGCGAAATGGAGCAGTACTTATATCCCTGCTCATGGGGAGCTCCTGTTTGCACAAAGCTGGAAATGTACCTGGGATTTGCCACAGAAACACTGGCCTTCAACAGCATCTAATCTGTACAACATCAAAGCCGTCAGGAGCCAGAAGGAGTTTTTGTACCATTCTGTAAAATGAAAATCACATGCCTACTCAGATACACAAGACTCAAAGCTGAAGGAAGCTGGGAGACAATTCCACACATTTTTCATTTTAAAAAAACTATCTTAAGTTAAAGTGGTGTTTAACTAATTCTCACACAGAGACGAAACAAAACAGACCACCCAGCTCTTAAAAAAATTAGTAATTATTTCCATGGCTATCCAGAGCAGCAAGATATATTTAGCTTGTACTGCAGCATGGTTACTTATTCAGTCTTGTATCTGCATCTTGTGCTGATAGTGAACAGGTGAATAGATCTAAACTGACATCTGAAGCAATCACACATTAGCAACTATACAGTGAAGAGCTGCATTTTCAGATTGTCTTTTGAACAAAACCAGATTACTCTTCGGTAGTCTTTGTTCCTACTAAAGGCATTTTTAAAGTTTTTTTTTTTATAAAATCATAGAATTTGTACAGCTTTCTTGCAAAGAGCTGAGATACACCTAAGGCTTCAGAAATGTAGCATTCCAAGCACCAAGTGTGGGCTGGGAATCATCATTCATGACAGTTGTGATTTTAAATAAATCCTTCCTTTTTCTGGCATAAAAATTGCTAAGCAGTGGTAAGGAAGTGGGAGGGCTCTGATTCACAAAAATGATGGCTTACTTTCTGTAATTTTCTTCTTGTCATTTGGAACAACGAGGTACATAATAACATCTGACACTTCTGTGGAGCTTTCCAAGTGAGACTCTGGAATCATTTTGCAAATATGAAAGCCTTAGCTCAGGCAGTAAGTGCTTCTCTCCTCTCAGATAAGAGGACATGGGACTCTTAAACCCACATACCTAGGCCTGGATTTGCAGAGAGGCTGCAATCTAAACGGAGTATATTGCTAGATAAAAAGGTCCTGCTCTTGCCCTTTTGCTGGGCTTCAATCATGCAAGAAAAGGGGGTATAAAACTGGTATAGTTTAGGAACTTGCCTTGTTAGAAAATCACATTGCATTGATTTTGCCCACAGTCCTTTGCTATCGACATTTTAGAAGAGCTGCCAACCAAAATGCAATTCCCATCTATGGTGGTATTCTGTCTTGGACTTTCACAGCTATTATATGCCTTCTTTGTGCCCTCTTGCATTCACACATGGACAGAGGCACACACAAGCTGATTCATGAGAACTTTCCAACAGGTTGCAAGTAAAAGTAGTTGAAAAATGCCTGTGCTACTCTGAAATGTAATGCTTTGCATATAGTTTTGCCTTTTTCATACAAAAGGGTTAGGATATCAAACCTATTTTTCCTACATGCAAATTTTCTTCTATTATTTGGAACACTGAGAATACAGAGCAGCTGCTCCACTTGCACAACCACGAGTCAGAATTACTCACAATGTTCAACCACTTAGTTGTTATGAACAGCAGGAAAAGAGATACATCACAAATCTAAAATTCATTTTCAGATAATTAATCATTACAAAGAATGACCATGACTCAACTTATTGCTCTGAATACTGCCTCCATGGTGGTTATTTTGTTAGAAAAGAAATACGCTGCTGCAGGACAATACAATTTCTCCCAGTAGACTCATGAAACATTCAGTTGAAGGCTGTACAACACGAGTCTGGACCTCCAAACCAGTGTCAGCCTTGCAGGACTGTATATCTGACTGCTCTGGCACTGCAGGTCTCAGAGCTGTGCTAAGGTAAAACTCTTTTCCCAGTGTGGTATCTCAACTCCTACATGCCATAATGCTAATTTCCACCCTCCTCTATCCCAAGATGAACCACTGAGTACCAGGAATCAATTGTCCTTTATGTGTCTGCTGGGTCACAGTTACTTTTGTGACAGTCCGAAAGAGTCTCAAGAAGCACATATCAGGGAGCTGAATAACAAACGACAAAGTAAGGATCAGTGCTGCTCACAAAGAGAACTGTTCAGCTGGAGTAGCCATGGAAATGAACAGTCAGTGACAACCAGCTTGGCATTTACCTCTGGGAACTCTTTCCAGAACACAAGCACACTTAATCCAGGTGAGCCACGAGCAGTCTATGGACGTGTAACACGTAATCTTATGTCAGGTTGTACTGAATGTGCCCAAACCCACCCAGAAGACGAACAGTCCTGGGCTTAGATAGCAATGGAGTGGCTGATCATCTAAGCATCTGGGTGTTGCAACCATAAACCTGACACCTGTTGCTGAACATGGGATGAATGTCAGATGACAGAAACCAAATGGTGGGAAGATATTTCAACAAGCCTGCTCTAGTTCCTGAACTAAACAGGAATAATTAAATCAATAGAAGAAAATTATATACAGGCTTAATGCACGTTCCATGTATCAGTTTGGAAAAGGTGGTTTTTAAAAAAAAAAACCAACCAAAAATCCTAAACCTTTTAGCCAGAAACCACGACAATCAGTTAAAGCAGAAGGCTCTGTGTGGAAGAGGAAACAAAGTATGTTCTTTTTTTTCTGAAGTCTTCCTACAAAAGGCTCTAATAGAGCCTTCTGCTCTAGAAACAGTTTAAAATATTGACATTTAAAGGGTAACCTCCAAATAGTCTTTCCTATTGCCAATTGAAATATGTGACAAGAAAACCCCGTTCTATTCTCATATGCTTCTCTGATATTACAGAAGTTGTTATTTACTTCTAAAGACCATTAAATCTTAGGGCCTCTTTAGCTTTCAAAGAAGCGTATTATTTTTTTTCCTCCTTAGAAGCAGTGAGTCAAAGAAATACTGAAAATCCTTCCAGCTGCCAGGAGAAATAAAAAAAGGAATTTATCCTGTAAACAACATACAGGCCCAACATAAAAAAGGTACAAAGTACCGAATCCCAGTGCTTTATTTCAAAGCTTTCCTAATGAGAATGTTTGTGATCACATTAATAATGAGCAAACCAATGGACCAACGTTTTTACACCATGGGAGCCTAGGAGGGCATCAGTGCATCTGCCATGCTCAAACACTGCTGCTGAGCTGTACCTTCCTCTGGCTGCCCTGCTGCAGAGACAACATCAAGCCAGACAGGTCCTTAGGTCTGGGCACCTTCTTACAGCATGTGGCTTGAGATACATAAGTGAAATTTTTGCCTCACAGTCAAGTGCCCTGGATCTATCAGGTAGTCAGGAACAAATCCTGACAGACTACTTGCACTCTGTGAACTGTCTAAGCAGCTTCATTTAAGTAAATATTGAAGACACAGGCATAGCAGTTCAAGAGCAATCTAGCAGCCCACCCGGCTGCCCATTTAGATTTTCTTGTGATATCAAATTCAATAAGCAATTAAGTAAAGATATCTAAAATTCAACTGTCTTCAAAAAAATAAAAACCATTCACAGAATCACAGAATTTTAGGGGTTGAAATGGACCTTACAGATCATCTAGTCCCAACCCTCCCTGCCATGGGCAGGGACACCTCCTCACTAGATCAGGCTGCTCAAGGTTTCATCCAACCTGGCTTTGAATACTTGGGGCAGCCACAGCCTCCCTGGGCAACCTGTGCCAGTGTCTCATCACCCTTACAGTAAAAACCTTTTTTTCTAATATCCAACCTAAACTTCCCCTCCTTCAGTTTGAACCCATTCCCTGTGTCCTACCATTGCGGTTCCTAACAAAAAGTCCCTCTCAGGCTCCTTGTAGGCCCTACAGATATTGAAAGTTGCTATTCAGTTGCAAAGAAGACATTTGCACAATTTGAACTCTACAATAACTGCAGTCAGTCCCTAAAAATCTGTCTATTTGAGCATACACTGTTCATTTTAATAGAACTTTAACAGTCCTGACAGATGCTTGCCAGACATCTCACCTGTGATATATTCATACTTAATTAAGAATGACAAAGAGGAAAACAAGATGGAAGAGACCAGAGGTCATTAGACTCCTTTTTTAAAGTAAAAATACACATAGGAGGATTTTTCTTCTATAGCTTATGTGCATTTTACTTCTATTTGCTTTGCCAGTAGAGCTGAATCCTGACCTTCAGTGCAGCAGCACTGTCAGTCCTCTGCTAAGCGTTAGTTGTGCTGTCTTACAGCACTTCTACCATTTGCACAAACAGAGACAATAATGACACCAGCAAGTTAATTTTCATTCCACAGCAGGATCTGAACTCCACCCTGCAAGGGTGAGAGGTGTCTGAGTCAACCTATTAAATCTCACCCGTCTCCTGACACCTCTTTCATTTCCCATTTTAAAAGATGTTCCTAATTATGTCTTTTGGGATATGAACTGAAACTTTCCTTATAAAAAAATCAAACCACATTTATTTTCACAGTCCAAGCATAAATGGTAACAATTCTTGTTAATGGGCTTTTGCCATCAAAACACAGAACCATTAACTAGTCTCAAATCTTGCCACTGTTGCTTATCACATACACAAGAAAAGCTGTTGGGCAACTCACACTAACATTACTGACAAAGTAAATAGAGCCAAAGTCTTCAACACCTGCAAAGACATCTTTTTTGGATGATCTGTGAGCACACAGAGAAGGATACTGTGCTTCCATACACAAATGACACATGTATGAACTGGAACAAAAATGCACAGAACCTTACAGGACCAGGTGAGGATCTGGGGGTGCTAGTGACATCCACAAGTGGATAGATGAGAGGTGCAAGTGGAAAATGAGCAAATTTACAGCAGCACCTAGAGATATAACGTGACATATCTCCTGTGGCAGGCAATACGCTGAGGGCCTTCAGCTGCTCTGTGTCCTGACCATTTCTGATATGACTGTTATCAGATCTCTAACGAAGGAGAAAGAACAGGCAGAAGAATTGAGTAACAGTGATTGCTAAAAGCTAGAAAAAGAGCAGCTTGGGCTTTACAAGGCAACTAGCTGGGAGAACAGATGGTATCTGGCCATTCACCAACTCTGAGGCAGGTCTCAAGTATTTCATTAACACTGAATTTGAAAGCAACTTTGCATGAATGTGTTTCTTCCTTTGTTCTTTGCCCTGGAAGGCCAGCTGTAAAAATTCTTATAATTTTCATTTATTTATTTTCTGGAAGAAAAAGGAAGCAAAAACCCAACCAGAATTCTGTGTGGAAGAGTGCCCAAGCTTTAGACTCATATATCAGATGAAATTTTGAACATAGTCAAAATGGTCATAAAAGTATATCAATAAAACCTCTGTTTTAAAGTAAACACAATCTGCAAAGTGTCTGAAAATAAATGTAACAACACAGTACATGAAGTGAAAAGGTTTACTTGATTCAAACTCAACCTTACCAGTTCCTGTTCCAGTCGGATCACCTCCTTGGATCTGCAGAATTAAAATTAAATCAATGTTACATATGTATCTGTGTGAAAGACATTAAATACAAACCATAAAAGCCAATTCTGCTCAATTTTCTTCCTTCTATATTGTGTCATGTTGACAACTCAGCAACAAGGAAACCATTACTACTTATTTGCAGTTGCTTTTATCAGCCAGCTGTCATCCTGTATGTTGCTTATCCAGGAGCAGAACGACAGTTTTATAAAAATAATAGGTCTCCTGTGGGTAAATAGGGAAAATAACCAGTTCAAATGGGTTAACCAGATCATCCTTTCTATTATCTGCTGAGTCATAACCTGCTGTTCAACTGATGATGCACTGCTTTTGGAACTGAAAAGGTTTTACATTTTGCCACCAACGCTGCACATGATAGGAACGCAGAAAAGAGAGAATATGGAATATTTTTTGTATTTGCACCTGTATTTCAAGTGTTCCCCTCACTATCTGCAATAGGAAACAAACCCATGAGAAACCAACCTTTCAGCAACAAAATTAATCACATGCATTAATCATTGCACATGCAGAATCTGCAGAAATAATATTCCGTATTCTAATGTCAGTGGAGGGAGTGTGACATGGCCAGTTTCACAGTAATAGCACACAAGCACAATTTTAGCTGTGAGTTTAACTACGAACTGAAATGTACAGTGCTGTCAAAAGAAAAAAAGCTTTTTTTAGGATGATGGGATGGAATGCAGCTTCCAGTGATGTCTCCTGAAAGATGTGCTCTGCCTTTGGGATCAGGCTGTTAATTCTTCTGAAAGGAAGATACAGGGCAGCTGCAATATCCTAAGCTGTCTGGACTGTAAGTATGTAAACAGAGATCTTTGACTACCAAAGACAATGTTCTGGTACACAAGGTGCTCTTTAACTCCTTCACAAAGAAGGCCTGGGCAGCTAGTGCTGGAGCACACTCAGGAAAGAATGATCAGACAGTATCCAAGTACAACAACCTGAAACAGAAATTCAGCTCCTGCCTAAAGTTTCATCTGAATGGGATTTCAACAGGTCACAGTATTACTTATCCAAATTAGCATTTCCCTCTCCCTCCTCCTGTCCATTAACCACCCACTCACAGGTTGCAGAAGATAACAAGAGCCTTGCCAAGACAGTGACTCTTAAAGGCTTTGTCTGGAGCACCAGCAAAAGCAATGCTAAATGCAGTGATGCTCCAAGTGACAACATTAATCAGGGGCAGTTGTTGGTAAGATTCGTAAGTACACATTGAGTAAGTTAGGACAAATCTAGTTGTGATGGTATATTTAATAAACATCTATTGCAAGTTGTCATGCATGGAAGAACCTAAACCTGAGTTAAAGTAAATAAATATTTTGAGGACATCACATTTTGTACATTACACAGGGTTTTATCAATACCCACCACAAAATTCCGAATTGATCTGTGAAAAATTGTTCCATCATAGTAGTTCTTCTTGCACAACTTGATAAAGTTCTCACATGTTCGGGGTGTCTGAAAGACAAAGGGCAGCTTTAATTAAGCAATACCTTTAGACAAGGAATTGGTCATTACACTGTTTACAAGAATCACTTTTCATTTGTGCCTTACAAGGAAACAGTCAGGCAGGACCTGAGAGGACTGAGTCTGTCTACAGAAAAAAGCCTATAATATATGCTCTTTTAAAGTACACTGGAGAGACACACATTGTGTTAAATAAATTAAACCCAGACCTTCCAATTAGCACAAAGAAGTGCTGAACACTAGCTCAGATAACATGAGCTCCCAGTTGTCATCATGACAGTGAAAGCAGGTAAGCTCAGAGACTTTAGAGCAACTTAGTTCCACCAGTGCATCATAATCCTGTTCCAAAGGGGGATTTCTAGCACTGAGAAGAAGTTAATTTCCCAGAGTAAGAAAGAACTGACTTCTCTCTCCACTGTTTCAAAGTGAGAACACTGAAGCTAACTAGGAGGGAAGCATTTAGTCCTTTCAACCACTTGGAAGTAAAAATGAGACTGACCCAAGTCACTGGAACACAGGAAAAACAAAACAGACAATTTGTTTTGAAAATTCTAAATAAAAAAAAAGATGCTAAATATATTGCCAACCTCTAATTCACTTTCACAGTGCAAATTAAAGTTATTTATTTGAATTTATGAGCCAGTACCTTCTGAAAAACTTTGCTGTCTACCTAATTATCCTTCCACTGTAATTGTACAGATTCTCTTCTCTGCAATACTAAAATACCTTCACATGTGCAAATACAGATACAGAAACAGCCTGTTTTCTATACTTGAACATGTTTTCCAGCCCCACTTTGGATTATGTGCATAAATCTCTTCCAGTTTTACAAAAGAATGCTTCTAACTAATTTGAGTTGTTACAGGCCTTAAAAATATCCTTCTTGTTGTATGTGCTGGCAAGTAAAGCCCCAGCATGAGCTGCCATGGCTGTAAATGAACACACACAAGACTTGTCTTTTGAAAGACACTGATTCACTTTGCACTGCTGTGACATCACTCTTGGTCTGAGAGCTGCTGACAGACAGTGAGACTGAGCAACCTGAAGAGACTTAAAAGCAAAAAGACAAGGCCAGCCTGATTACAATCATTTAAGGATGAAATAATCTCTATCTTTTGAAAAGCCAATCCATACAAGTATTCATCTGGAACCTCAGTGAACTGCAATTTCCTGTATTTTCTCATCTGAAACACAATCATCCTCACCCCTCTTTATTTACACTGAAATGTCTCTTAATTATCCAAAAAAACCTCTACCTGTCACTATAAATTCTTTATAATGATTCCTTCTTAATTATTCTACACAGATATAGATGACAGTTGTCAGCTGGGTCATAACTGAAAAAATAAGCAAATTCCAATGCAATCTTACACCAGCCATCAGCTTAGATTTCCAACAGAATTCATTACTGAAGTAAATGCCAATGGTACCATAATGCCACTATGACATGTATTTTGGTGGCATTCTGAGGGCAACTTGTAAGTAACTATACTCCACAAAAATTCCAACAAGCAACAAGAGGTTTTCCTATAGTTTCAATGTCCACAGTAAACCAGAAAATGTTTCCTTTGAATTCAACACATATGCTTTAAAATAATCTTTGGACTCGACCTTTCAAGTAAAATTCACCCCCTGAAGAACCACTTGTGCAGCACACGCTTCCTTTATGAGACAATATCACAATGGCCTTGATCCTAAAGCAGTGCTTACAGTCATCACTCGTGAAAACTGTCAGTAAGGATAAAAATGAGTTAAAAAAAATTCCTTTATGAATCAGAAATGGTATCAGCAGTTTTTAGCCTAAAGCACTTTATCTCATGAGAGCCAAGCAGTCTTTGGAGAGAGACACATAGTTAATAAGTTCTCTGAGGGGAATACAGCAACCTGTAATTAATTTTTTACAAAAAATGAAATCAGGCAAAAGATTGAGTCCCCTATGAATACACACCAAACCATTTTAAATTTGCACAAAGCTGATAATCCAATACAGATTTCCTGTTTATTTTCAAAACACGATTTGTAAAATATACATCAAAACCCTGGCTCTAATAATGTATTTTTAATGCAGGACCTATGCTGACCCTTCTCTCTAAATGGATTTCTAGTTATTACACCCTTTCCCAGAAATAACCTTTTGAAATGCAACTGCAGAAATATTTAGTATACATGCAATAATCATTTCACTGCAAGGTTTTCCTTAAATAACTGTCACTGAATTGGTTCCCATGGTCACCTCATGCATCACACAGATACATCTGGCAGGTAAACAGTTCCTTAGCAACATTACCACTACCTTTTATAGTAGCCACAAATAAAAAGGTTTGAATTCAATCTGTAATAAATCCCAGTTTCAGTCAGGCAGTTGACCTAGAATATCTGGCTCAGATTATCTGATTTATTCAAAGCAGTTAACGTTCTTGCCAAATCTCACACTGCCAAGCACATTTCAGGGATTTTTTTAAAGCAGCATCCTGTCCAAAGCAGGAGAAAAAGACTTGAGGTTTATGGGGAAGGTGCGGATCCTCAGACATGAACTTATGTTCTGCATTGACCACACAAACAAGGCCCAGTCTTTGAAGCCTTTGTTTCAACTACAAAGACTGATGACAAATATATATAAACAAACCTGACTTTGTTATTTGAGTGTAAGATCTTGTGGAAGATGTCAGACTCGCAGTCTCTGAATGCAAAACTGGCTGCTTCTTCATAAACTTCCTCCACACCACTTGCCTCACACTACTGCTGAAGGAGGAGGGCATGGCCAAGGCACCTGGAAATGCAGGAGCACAGGAGGCAATGCTGGTTTCTTGTTGGCTCACTATTGACTATGTGCTCCAGTGCCTCTTTTTACCTCTGGCTATTCTTGTCTCCAATTGGCCTCAACAGCAGCAGCTGACTTTCCCCTCTTTATTCCTTTTACATTAAGTAGAAAATTGTTTAAATTATTTTAATAAGCTAAGACTTAAACCTACATGTAAGAAAGTCAAGGGAAAAATGCCACCTTGTTAACCTGATCTGAAAGCCACCAACAGAAAAACATTACGTTTTAAAGCTACTGCAATACTTGCTCAGAAGGACACAGTGACAGTCCTAACAAGTCAGATTTAAAAACTGTGGAAGGTTTTTTTGACCAAAGAGTGTGGTAGGACGGAGAAATCCTCTTTTCTTAGGTCAAGTTGGGACCATGTAAGTGAATGCTGTGTCTGTGTGACGTCCTTCAATTTAAAGACACTTCTCTCTCCAAGTGACAAATACTAAGAAAAAAAATCTTATTTAAACCAAAAATGAGTCACCTCCTCCAACTATGCTCCCTATTTATTTTGTAGATGCCAGATAACTGTTATTCAACTGCTGAAAATTCACACTCAAGACAAGTGGTAAAATTTTAATAAATGGTTTGAGACAGGAATCCAGAAGAATTCTTATTCCAGAAGATGACACAAGTGCTTTGCTTGGCTCTAAGATATGTATATTTAATGGGGCCATAGCCCAATGGCTTTCTAAGTAGGTTTAAGTCTCCATTTAGCTATCACACAGTAGGTAACTACATGGAAACACCAGCACTCGACAAGTTACTAGGCACAGACAAATTTCAGATTAAAGAGAGATTGCTACTAAGAATGACCATGCAAACATAAACAGTGACAGGAGACTGTGAAATCACAGATACTGGGAAAACACTGAAGAAAGGAATATACAAATTAGAAAAGCAAAGCAAAACAGAAAACAAACTCAACCTGACTGCTTACTATAAAGTTCTAGGAGAAATGCAGATTTTACATTGTTCCACATTTACGTACTAACCAAGCCAATTTCGGTTTCTATTTTGCCAGCAAGGGTGGCTCCAAACCAGGCAAAATCCATCTCTCCTGCTGCATCCCAAGACCTGAGGGCTGAAACTAACCAAGCCAGGTCCCTACCTGATTTCCTGGTTTGCAGCTCTTCCTTCTCATTAGTAACAGTGGGTCATTACATTTGCAAAAGTTACCTTAACTCAGAATCTGTATTGGGCAGCTGAAGAGCCAAACAGGAGTAGATTAAAAACCTGCAGCACTCCTGTTGCCAAGGTACGGGAGATGGGAAGAGAGGGGAGCTCCTGAGTCGTTGCCATGACTGCAAGGAAGAAGGCTTTACTCTGTGAAGAGCTAATCATTTCAAAATGCTCCATCCCTTGAGGATGTGCATGAACCTTGAAGGGAAATTTCACACTAAGCATTCAGAAGCTGTCATTTGCACATCTGTATAATTTTCCTGTGCTAATTCCACTTCCCTTTTATTTCTTTTTGCCTCTCTAAATTGGATGAACTCTAGTAGTAGTGGCACCAAACTACAGAGCCTTGCTATATGCTTATTAACCCTATGTTTCAAAGCAGGAATCATGAAAAGCTCATTCCTCACAAATTAAACTTGCATTCTCCAGCCTTCATCTTATCTCACAAATGCCAGAATCCTACTACTAAGGCATGAACTAGTGATGGAAATTTCTAAAGCTCCAAACGAAGCCTTCAATTTTTTTTTAACATAGATCTCCTTTAAAATGCAAGGTGGATTTTGCTTTGCTTTAATCCATTTACGTTTGGTTTTTTTTTTTTACATAGAGCACTTTCAGTCTTGTAATTGATCATTCCAGCAACTCTTCTAATGTGTGAGCCCATAAAGAGGTGATTTGGTAAGATTTAAACTCAGTTCTCCCCATTCCTTTCAATCTGTACTCCTCATAGCCTACCCATCACACAGAAAAGAAGTCATCAATAAAAACTTGGCTTTATTTAGGGCTTAGTCAGAGCAAACTGTAATGCAGCAGCTTCAGGAATCACCATTTATCAGGTGCAAGTGTCTATTTCCTCCTCCAGGTTGTGGAAAGAAACTGGACATATAAATGTTTCTAGTGCAATACTATTCTGGAAAGCCATTTACAGCACCCTACTTCACTGTGCACCAAGGAACTAGGAGCATTATTCGATTTGTTTCAGAGCAAGAGGGACAAAACC